CGACTGCTCTCTCTCTCTCTCTCTCTCTCTCTCTCTCTCTCTCTCTCTCTCTCTCTCTCTCTCTCTCTCTCTCTCTCTCTCTCTGCCTGTCAGCTTTGATCTACGTAGCAGCTGTCTGAACCCGGCGTCGAGCAGTGCGCGTAGATCGAGCGAACAGCCGAGGTGCCGATCTTTGGTAATGAACTAGCGATCGGCCGCGTGCACGAGTCACGCACAGCAGCCCCCGAGCTTCGAGGTTCGAGGCAGCGAGCGTAAACTAATTACGTATCAAATATAGCGTCGAGAATATCTGTTGCCAGACTCGTTGTGAATGGCATCGAGAGCGACGACACTCCGGCTCAATTTCAGCGCAGTGTGAAAGGAAATATTTCGCGCGACCGTCGGCAATCAAGGCAGAATTGAAATGCTACACGGCTATCTATTTTTTTCACATTTAAACGGTCGCGGGCGCTATAGAGAGATACACGCACCGCGCGCCGACCCTATATATATGGCGGCTTGCAGCCGTCAGTGAATTTAGCAGATACGATCATGCGCGAGCGCGTTGTATGCACATGCCGCATAGACTAAACATGCGGCGCGCGCATGAATTATTTAGGCATATAACGCGCGGTATAGTATAGCATTCATCGCCGTCACATTTACGATACGCAGGCGCGCACAGTCAGTCGAAATTTGAAGCGAAAACAACCCGTAAAGCAACAAATAATCTTCGCGGCTTAAGTATAAGACATGCGCCAGCGTCGCGTTTTCAATATATAGCATGCGGTCAGCGATACTCACGTCGGCGACGTCTTCGGGTGCCGCTAAGCCGGAGCTACGCTGCTCGTCGGCCGATGTCCGCTCCATGCCGAACGTCGGCGGTTCTTCCGGTTTAACCTCGCGGCAAGATGGCGGCGGTACGCTATAGTTCGCGAAGAGCGGAGCGAGTGAAGTGTTGATGCTACTAGCGAGAGAGAAGCGTCTGAAGTGGGAATTGCGCGGCGCAAGAGCTCAGCTGGAGATGCGACCTTAACGACAGCAGAAACTTCAGCCCGCAACGACTATCCCCCAGACCGATGCGCGCCGTTCGGGTTTTACGAGCGATAACGCGTTTGCACTCGCTCAATCTTGGGAGCACTGGCGGACAGGGATACGCGAGAGGGGACTATTCGTGCCTGTCCAAACAAAAATATCTATAAATGGTGCCACGAACTTATGTCGGCGCATGTAGCAATGTGAAGTAAACCAGGATTGGTGTCTCTGTTTGTGGTTTCCACGTGGCCTCTCCGGCTTAGTTACGCTCATAGGGTCTATATCCCCCAGGGTACTATCGGAGGGTACCCTGGGTACGGTTAAGATCTTCACCCATTCACAGTACAACACATGCGCGCTCCGTTTATATCTCGCGACGCCACGCCGCGATGTAAATGCAATCTTTGCAAGCTCACATATAACTACTAACTGCAATATCAGGTGTCTGTCGCGCGGTCGCCGCGCCCGATTCAGCGAAGGGCATTGAATTTCCATTAGTTGTGACCCGGCGGTTTTGGCGCCTGCCTACAGTATATACAGCCGGACCTCGGCGAGGGCGACTTCATTAGATCAAATCCACGCATTACAACTCGTCGGAAATAGACATGGAGAAGATCTTCAGCGCAGAATTCGTTTCAAATCACTCGTCACGCGCATCTTACGCTTTCCTCTTCGCGCCGGGCGGCCACGCGGATGGGCAAATCTTTATTGGCGTGACAGGAGACACAGCACACAGATCATGAGAAGGAAGTGTGGCTGGATTGGATACTCCCTCAGGAAGCCTGCCAGTAACATTACCAGGCAGGCCTTGACCTAGAATCCACAGGGAAAGAGGAAGAGGGAAAGGCCAAGAAACACGTGGCGGAGAGACACCCAGGCAGAAATGCAGAGTAGCGGTCACTCCTGGAGGGAGATGGAAAAAACAGCCAGGGTCGAGTGCGCTGGCGGAGCGTCGTCGATGGCCTATGCTCCTCATGGGGCTAAAGGGCCTAATCAGTAAGTAAGGTGAGAGTACGTGAGCACATGTTGGCGAGCGGTCTCGTGCGCAGCTACTGGCGGCTTCACACGACGTCAGCGATTATAATGAGGCGTGCTGAATGCTGCTAACCTGCTGCTGATTTGTTGTTCTAATTACTTCTTTGAATGAGACGGAGAGAATTAATGATGAACGTTTCTAGCCCTCTTTCACTTCGCTAGGCTATTTATCCACGAACGGGCTCTCGTTTGCAGGACACTAGTGAATTGCGAAAAAAAACGTTTGCTTTCGTTAAAGAAATGTGAGAATGTTTTCGACGCCTTGGACAATTTTTTAGACAACTGCTAACCTTTATCTCCTTTTCCGTTATCCTTTTCCTTTATCCTTTTCCTTTATCCTCTTTTCCCTTGGCGTGCGCACCCCCTTTATCTCGCTCTCCCTTCTCTGCCTCGCCCCTTCCCTTTTTCCCGTCGCTATCTTCCACTCTCGCTTTCTCTCTCACTTACTATTTCATTCAATTTTTTTTCTCGTATTCCTCGCATTCACTCACTCACTCACACACACACTGACTAGTTAGGGAGTAGGCGTAGGCGACTCCCTAGACTCGTTAGTGGAGTAGGCGAGGTACGGTCCGGCATATTAGATAGTACCAGGGTACGTTCCGATATATCGAACCGTACCCAGGGTACCCTCCGATAGTACCCTGGGGGACATAGACCTTCTCCGGCTTAGTTACGTACCAGCGTACTCATGTCAATCATTCACCTGGGGGTTATATTACGACTTAATGCTACTGAAACCACGTCGCTTTGAAAACTATCCAAATACACCCGCTTAATGAATTCCCAAATCGATACCAGGGCGGGCGCTACCACAAAATCCTGCTACAATATCCGCGTGCTTTTATTGAGTTTAAACCCTTTTGGTTACCCCGGAATTAATCGCACAAACTGCGAGACTAATCATGTTCAAAAGTATCAAATCTTTTGCATGGTGCATACGTCTGAACGGTTATATCGCTCACACTTGGTGGATAATAATATAGAAATGAGACCCTATTACGTTTCATTCGTCGAGCTCGCGTCAATGAATGCATTTTAGCCGACCTTTATTGATCTGCCCTTTATGCGATTGACTCTATTGCATTTCTCAGGCGTCCATGGCTTCTCTGCCACACGGACACATGCTGCCCTCTGGAAGCAGTTTTGACAACCGATTTGGCAGCATTACGATCGTTCGTTCGTCGCAGGTTTAGACGCAAACAGAGCCGTATATATCTCTCTATATACGGCTCTGGACGCAAACTCCATGCAGTGCCCCCTTCGTACAGCTCAGGATACGAGAAATGAGGTGAATTGAGCCAGAGCAAGAGCGCCATCTGCCTTGGAATTTGGTTTAGACGGACAAGGGGTGTGATGGGATTTGTCGCATTCAGAGCCGTTTATATAGAGCCGTTTTTCTATATACGGCTCTGGCCGCATTCACCGCGCGTCGGTCATTTTGTGCCATGACTAACGCTCGATTAATATTGGCGCGCTGCTATATTCTGGCGTTTAGGAAACAAACAGTTATACGCGTGTTAATTTGCTTGTGTGTGCTTATCGCACTGCCAATTATAATTATTATTTCACTCAACATGCCGAGACGGCTCTTCATATCGCACTGAGATTCCCTGTACATTACTATACGACCATGTGAAAAGCAGATCGCAGCCTGCTGAGTGAAATATTGAGATCGGCATTTGCGATGCACGGCTATACTACTGGCCGGTTTCTCTTCTATTCAAGCACACAAGAATGAGCGAATAGTTCTGCCACGGATAGATAACGCGCCGAGATGTTAGCACCTTCAATCCTTATACATTCGTATACATCCCCTATACATCCTAGTACCCTCACCCCCCACATGGCCATGTGAATGGTAGGGCGTTGCCCTCGAGTGGAATATGGAGAGCGGTTATTTCTATGCAAACCTATTGAATGCACGCTACTCTTCTTTTTAAGCACGAGGTCGACAGAATAGCATTCATTGCCTGTGAGATAACGCGCCACGGTACGCGCGCCCGAAGCCCTATACTAAAAGATATGGCAAAGATGTGTGAAAGGCAGGGCGTTGCGGCTTGCTTATCAAAGCTCAACAGCGACATCTCACAGTAGCCATTTAAGTCGGAGCATAGATGCAATTAAGTCTACAATTTTCAACAGAAAAGCCCAATTTAATTTGACTGAAAGAACTTTAAATTATTTTCCCGCTTATATGCGTGCGTGCGTGTATGCGCACGTGCGCGTGCGTATGTACGTGCGTGCGTTCGTATGTGTACACATCGAAATATTCATATTCACATACGTACGCATACATATACGTATATATATATATATATTTATTCATTTATTCATTTATTTACCCTCCACTCGCCCCCACCTAATCGAGACCTTAGCACGGCACACCGGTGTGGGGTTGCCGGCTTAAGTCCAAACTTTTACGTCTGCGCAGTTAGCGAACACGCGCACGACTGCGTGGCTTTCACATGTTATTTGAATCTTCATCATTTCATTTCTTTCTTCATGTTACTATCACAATTTGTTTATAGTATTTAAATAATTGTCTGCGTGTGGGTGCTTACGGGCAGATGTACGTGCTCGTGCAGGCGTGAGGGCGGGCATGCGACTATTCGTATACTTGAAATTATTTTAGACTTACAGAAATGGATATTCGACTTCTGGTAAACAACAGCTTGACAACGGAAGGAACCATACTGACATGCTAGAGCCTCAACGGACAACCTGAACACGTTAGATCAACGAAAAAAGTTAACTCACAGTATCAATTTAAAACTTCTAGTAATGATTCTATTAAACTCGTATTACATACACACAAAACGTAAAAACACGGCCCACGTCTTAATTACTCGAACCAGTAATTACTCTTTTCAGGTCAAAATATTCTCATTAACATCATACTTTAGAATGTACCAGCTGTCCGCGTTACTCGTTCCCAATCCAATGTGATACTGTCACATTTATTTACGAACAACCGTAATCCAACAAATCAATCCAGTACAACGCGTATCAATGCTATCCAGGTATATATAAATGTACACACTCTGATATAGGTTAATCCACAAATTAGTGGACTTTAATCTATTTCTAATTATATATATATACATAATAATAGTCTATGCAACCCGGTACACACGTACGTATATCATGCACCCAGCACTTACAACATTTACATTTAATATTCGCATAAAAACTGACATGGAGAAACGGAGAGCAGCGCACGTGAACAGTAAACAACCATTGTAGTTTTCGGTACTTGTTGAGTGCGGTTATGTGGGTGTGCGTGGGATGTGTGTGCGCTGCGTGCGTGCGTGCGTGCGTGCGTGTGTGCGTGTGCATGCGCGCGTTTATGTAGAACGTGCAGGTTACGGTTACTATGTAGAACCTGATGAAAATTAACCTAACCTGATTAAAATTACCTGATGAAAATTAATTTCTAACTCACGGTGTCTTAAAAAACCTGCATATGAATAAAGGTCATTTATAGGAATTTCTATTACGTACGACGATTAAAACCTCCGGCTAATACATGCTATAAAGTGCTGTGACGGTCAGGAAAATAAAGAAAGACGCCTCTTTGTGACTGTATGGAAAGGGTGACGGAATGTTTACATCACGGCAGAGGTTAGCAAACCCAGACAGTTCGGTACTTTTCAGTCTCATGTCACCGTGAATGTTTCCACGCTGTCTTCAGTTCCTCGTAAATATTTCCATTCGTCACTATGTCTTATTTATCTATGTACTCAAACGAGCCGAAAACTAAAAGGTATACATATCTGTCTAAAAACATAGGTAACATGCAATAGCTGACAGGGTGGGCAGAATGGTAGTTCATTAAAATCGATATTAAAGGAACCCCAATGAAGCATTAAATCGCTAACCCGATCTAAAAGTCTGCCAGACAATATAAAACAGCTCATAATACTTAGGAAACAGCAACTACAATTTCTACCACAACTGTGGTCTCTCTCAAAAACGCAATATCCAACCAGTTCTTGATTTAAAATGATTGATTCAATGATTGATTGATGAATGATTTCCAAAATCCGTCTACTACATTCCGTATTTAAACCCTACGAATGGCAAGGCATCTTTCAATTTATTTTACATGTACAGTAATACCCCCGCAATACGAAAGTAATGTGATCCAGAAAAACCGTTCGTTACGTGAAATTCTGTAAGGTGAAACACGTTATCCTAATGACTTCCATTATAAAATTGAAATTGCGTTCTTATGAAAGGTTTTTTGGCCAAGAAAAGTATGCAATCCTCATATTTCCCTTAATACCAGCACAATTATGAATGCAAGTAAACATTCGTAAACATAGATATTATCTACTTTAGGATGTAAAACAAACGAGAGATTTCAGTATAAGAATCTGCATCCTGTACCGAACGTATGGCACTGTTTGGGAATGCATAGTTATGCGTGCAATTAAACATTGTCAAACATAGATAAATATTGATTATTTAATGATGTAAGGAATTTTTGGATAGAAAAACCTGCCTGCTTCATTATAAAAATTACATCAGAGCAAATTTTTGTTTGGTATCATGAATAAAGTGGTCATAATATTTATAAACTGTGCATGGGTAAACGTACGTAACACGAGTTATTGTAATGGGAGAGGGGTGGCATTACTGCACACAGCCTGATTTCTACACAGCTTCTTCCAATTTCTGCATCACTAGGGCACTTAAACCCATTAATTCACCTAATTATAGCCACTGACAATTAAATAGGAGATCAGAAACGTTTACAACTTCGATAACGAATTGCAGGCCGTTGGCAGTGATTGGCTGCAACTAATCCAGTAATGACATGGTGAGATATCTCTGCCAGTGATAAGTTATCTGTTACATGCACGATTATCAGATGCAGGTTTTACTCTACTGGGCGTGAAGGATGCTAATGGTGTCAGCAACATCGTGCAAACCTACACAGTACAACCTATTGCCAAACTACGATGACCAGAGGAGAGGCAACAAACGCCCTCCCTCCCGCCTACCTGTACTAGCCTGCTGCCCCCCTTCTCTGCCGCATTCCTCACGCTGCTGGAATCAGGCGGCAGATTTTAAACTAGTGCCGCTCGTCGACGGCTTCTGATGAGCGGCCATGTTTTCTTTGGCCTTACTACTCCGATGCCGGCCGCCTCGGTTACGCTTACTAGGCTTCTGTGGCTCGTTCTCCGGTCGTAGGATGGGCACGTGGTCGGGGTCACCGCCGTGGTCTACGTGACCCTGCGGGCCCGGGCCGGGGCCCTCACCTCTGTTCTTGCTCATCTTCGCTCGGTGCTGCTGCAGGGCTGTTCCTGCAACAGTTCAAATTCATACAAGCTTATTTACCTCGAACCGACATAACCGTAACCCTGGCACGACAAGGTAGATATTGTTGCTGTGATAACATCAAGCAGCAGGAAGGACACGGATTTATCTTCTCGCAACTGAAATACCTACATATTCTGCAAGCCTGGGGCCCATTGTCAGAAACAAAATTAGTCTTAACATTAACTTCCACTCGTAAACCGTTGACAGAAACCTCGCAAAGTTACGAGAATGAAAAATCCTCGAAAATATCCTCTTAACATTACGAGAGCCCAGACCCTCTCGTAACTTTCATATTAAGTTAAAAATAACACATTTACACTACGAATTACAATTATAGTGATACTATATTTTATAATAATGAATAAAATGTGTTTTTCTTAAAAAACACGTCAAAATCATTCATTATCTACCGATCATAAAACAAAATAAAACATTTACAAATGGCGTATGGCATTTGTTCTTTTGTTTTAAATGTTTGCCACGCTTACCACGACTCTCGCGTCTCGTGTTACAGTGTGAGAATTTGTCTTGTTGTGCAGAATAAATTTATGACCGCGTCATTTTTCATCAGATATTATTTATATGTGGTTAGCCATCATAATATGCTTAAATTACTGTGATGTACAATAAATGTGTATGAATTTGAATTTTGTGATCGATTCTCATTCAATCAGCACTGCAGGCCTTGTGATGAAGTTCCTGTTATCGTAAGTTTTCTAATAGCTGCAATGTGTTTCTGTCAACGCTCCTCTCATAACATTAACATTAGTCGTAAGTGTTATCTTAGCATTAACTTTACGATGTTTCTGACAACGGCCCCCTAATTTGTAACGCTGCATGGCAGCACGCGCACTAACAGTTCCCAGCATGTCTATCTTACCAGGTATGTGTGGGTGCAACTTGGTGATGTTTCCGACTGCCTTCGTGCGCCCCTCGCGGAACACAAGCCGCTGGTCAATACGTAGGAACTCTGGGTTCTTGATGAAGTGGAATCGCACGGCTGCCTTGTCGCCTGTGCGCAGGCAGTCCTGTGACATGCTGACGATCGTAGCCGTCTGCCGGATGCTCCCACAATGCACTGCAAGCACCAAGAAAACAAGCGTACACTAAGAATGTTGGGATTGAGGTAGTTTTGTATAAAAAAAATTGTCAGGTAGAAGCACTTTTACAGAGCACTAGTAGTAGCACAGACTTGTGTGCAAGAATGTCGCCATCAATGTGATTTGTTTGACTTATTCTTAAGCAACTTGAATGACATTTTCTTGTTGCTGTTGTTGTTGTTGTTGTTGTTGTTGTTGCTGTTATTATTTTTGTTGTTGCTGTTGTTATACTAAACATTTTTAAATCTTAAAAATCACAATATACATTGCCCGTAAAACGGGTCAAAATGAATACAATTTGCACTAGACAAAGACAGGCTTAAAGCTCTATCAGGAATATTGCATGCCAAATTCAGACTGAAACTTACCCATCGCCTGGTACCTTGGACTTATTGTCGTGGGGTGGTGCAAGATCAATATGTCTGCTTCAAACTCCCAGCATGCCTGTGGCTTAATGTCCTGTGACACCATCACCATGCCTTTCCTAATGTGAGATCGCTTAATCTGAAGCAACAGGAGAGAGCCAGTGATGTGATACGTCTTACAAAATGTGAGAAAAACCTACTAGAACAGAACCTTTAAAAGTTATCGTCACTTTAACGCTCTCGTGATTTCTGCGATTTCTGCTATTCGAGGGAAAACGGCTGCATTTGTCGCAAATGCAAGACATAGGAACTCTTATCCAATCACATTCGCTTCAATTCTTATCCACCGCTATCAAGACGCACACGCGCTAGACCGCCTATATAGCCGTACCCGTTTTAATGAGAAAGATGCTGTCTGGCCGCCGCGCACACACCGCACTGGCATTCTCTTCCGATGGATGCTCTTGATGACGATTGGTTGGAAGTGACCGAGGGCGTCCGGTCCTAGTAGCAGCGTGTCATTCAGCTTTATCACGCCTTTCAGTGTCGTTCCCGAGACAACAGTTCCAACGCCCTGCAGCGGGTCAGCATTGTCACTAGTACTTGTGAATAGCAACACAGCTTGGTGGGGATGGTTCGGACCAACTTGCTAGTGCTGGCAACTATTAATTAACATTAACTTGTTGAAGCAGTAATTGTAGCGGTCAAAATTAGCAGCAGTCTGTTAGCCCACAGTCAGTGTGTGTATGGCAAAAACAATTTCATCAAATACTTCCTTTGAAAGAACTAACTTTTGTATCATCTTGGAAACTTTTTACATCAAAGGACAGTTGCTATAGTTATTTCCGAAGTTCTATGATCACCATTTCTAAACTGATATTTTAAGGGAAAGTTTGGTACAGTCTACCTGGGTTCGGGCAGACAATTTTCTGTAAAGTCACGATTAAAGCACACAAAAACTAAGAAAAGCTGTAAGATAAATCAACTAAGATGTTTTCGCAGAACACAATTTACAGATACTAATAATACTGAGCTCCCAAAGCAATTCGTCTAATGTACTTTTCATGTTCACCTCATTGAAACCACTCAGGGTGCAACCTGCTCCGACCGACACAGTTTGACCCACCCACATCCCAGTATCCTTTATGGAACGACAAGACGTAGACATAAAAAACTGGCACCAAGATTAAAAGTAGTACACAGCCATTTCAGTTCAACAAATGCATTTTACATGCTAAATTCACAGCGACCAATAAATAGGCCACTAGTACTGGCTATCATTAGCTACAGTTACTACCAGCTAGCATTACCTACAGTTGGTACTAGCTAACACTGACTGTAACTAGTACTAACTATCACTGACTATCACTAGTAGTGGGTAGCGCTAACTAAAACTAGTACTCGCTAGCTCCAACCATAGTTACTAGCTAGCTAGCCGTGACTAGCATGGTGCGCGGCGGCTGCACTCACCGGTACAGAGTAAGTGTCGTCTATCTGGAACTCGGCCAGCTCTCCCTCGTCGAACGACATTCTAGCTGATAGCAGGTTGAGGAACATCTTCAGCAGCGGCAGGTTCTCCCCTGTCACGTTCGACAGCTGGAAGATCGGACACACCCTGCGGAGACACAGCGGCAGTGTGTGACGAAGGAACCGGAATTAACTCACATCCACGGATGCTAAACGCAGCTAAATGGTGCTAGTACGTCTGAGACGTGTCTGCCCGATTCACAGTATGATAATACTTTAAGTGGTATCGCACACATAGATGGACAGTGGCGACCTCACCGGTATACTAATTAACGGGTTTGATAACTGGTGCACTGTTTTCTGGAAGATTTTTTTTCTGGTGCCGTTATATTTGCCACGGCCGAAAAGAGGAGACCCGCTGGTACGAACCTCTCTGAGCTGAAGTTTGTTGCCATGACAACAACGTCGTCCGTATTCTGCACCATCACAGGAATCTTCCTGCATCCGGGAGACTTGAGTATCCTCTGTAAGAGCTTTAACGTATCCTGGAGGACGTTCACCGGACACATGTCGATCTTGGTCACGACGACAAATACTGGAACGTTTAGCGCCAGAGCAAGACCAAGATGCTCCTTACACATGCCCACGATGCCCGCATTCGCTCCGACCTGAAATACAACGCAGATGAAGCTACGATCGTCTAACATAGCAGCATAGCTGTGTGCGTGGTTGTGATATGCAAAAGCATATTTAAACATGCAAGTAATTTATTATCTAATAAATATATCCATATAGGTCAGAAAAATGTAAACACTCACTATAAGCATGCAGAAATCTGGCATATGTCCCGTCATTCCAAACACTGTTGTCTTCAGGTAGCGTTCATGACCAGCCAAATCAATAAACGTAATAACCTGGCATCAAAGAAAAACAATTTATATATACATACACATTGTGAATTACATTATAGGTCATTTATTATAGGTAAATGACTCGTAGATGTTACCCGTCTGAGTCATAGTTGTTATTGAATCGGTCTGGTATAAAAACAGACAGCGAGATGCACGACTTAATATCATGATATTTGTAGGGTGGTTCCGTGTGATTGTGCGCAAGATTGCAAGCTACTCTGGTACCAACGCTTGTACACATTCATCGCAAACTTACCTTCGCAGAGTCTTCACAAATTTTCTTCCAGTCGAGGTTACCACCATGACTGTCAGGTTTGTTGACAACAGACCCTGAGCTGTCAAACCCAAGAATGTCATTGCCTAGACATAAATAACAATAAATGATTAAACTCACGGAGGCATGACGTAAAAGTAGAGAGATATTGACATTGACGTGACATTCTTTTTAAACAAACAACAAGAAATTCTGCTTAATATGCAAGTTTCAAAAAACTATTGCAGCCAAACCTATGTGACTTATATTTTACACTTTGCATGAAAAAATGAGGAATGTAACCATTATTATTTCATGTCATGATCTGTTGGTGACTTTGTTAATCACGTTCTAAATGTGAAATAGTATACCTAACATTACATCACTCATATTGGACACCTACCTACACTACTAGTCCGTCCTGACTCGATTTCGTGTTTATGCCTAAACAGCTTCATGCGAGCAATCCCTCGGCCATTGTCTAGCTCTCCATGTGTGAGCACTCCTAGCAATGTGCTCTTTCCTGCATCCACGTTACCAACGACAGCAACCCTGTTTAAAGTGACACGTTGTACAAGCAATCAAATCATACATCATGGAAGCAATTAACCGATCTCTTGCTTTTAGCTATACATGATCTTTTAGACCTTTTCATGCAAACCTTGTTCGTTCGGTTAATATGTTCGGAGTTTTACACACATGGGAAAAGGCGACATAAGCTCAACCACCTAGGAACCACAAACTCAAATATGCATTCAACTGACCTATCCACCTGGCAAAATTGACAAGCATGCCATCTCTAGCCATTTAGCACTGCGACAATGTGTTTTAAAGAAAACGCTTAGTAACAAAGGACGGCAGCACTGACAATTTGGCATATACACATGTAAAGCCACATACAACTATTAAATAGACCTAGCAACAATATACAAGGGGGCCTGCTTATTCCAATCAGACAGACAGATCAGTCAAGTCTAAGGTTACGAACAGTAAACGTGAGAATAAAATTTTTGGACACATTAACATCTGTAACTTAAGGACTACATGCACTCTTATCTACTATGTCAACATACCGAACTTCAATGAAGTCTTCACTTTCTGCTTTCTTTCGAACAAGAAATTCGGCGATATATCCCCGAGAGACGGGCCGCTTTGCTAGCAGGTTGCAGTCTGCATTGCAGGACACTGCAAGACTCTGCAGAGTTGCTATAGATGCTTCGAGCTCTGGTTCCGCTAAACCTTTGGCACCGCCATCTGCAATCATGGCAAAAATTTGGCTGGAACATCATGTAAATTTCTACACCAATGTTTCCATCATGTTAATCGCGAGTGAAGAAATGTGACATGCATGATCATGTAACGTTAAATTCATGAGGCTTACACAACTTAGCTAGCAGTACAAGCGATTTATCGTCATAAGCGATATAGGTTTTTCTATCCAGCACCTACCACCGATGCCGACAGCATAGAGAGTCTCCCCATCTTCTAACCGCTTCGCCAGTGCAGATAACAATGCTTCGTACTCTTCCTCTGATGGTGACACTAGGGCAGTCTGCAATGTGTTTGAATTTTTTACTTCAGATCTGATTTACATATATCATAGCCAGAACATGCTCTAGCACTGTATAATCTTGTAACTATGCCAATGGCCTCTTTACTGTAACTTTTCACTGCAGATTGTTAAGCGAGAAGATTACTTGTGGCTACTGGAATGACAACGTTGTACACTAAGAGCGAGAGACAACATCTTTATAACATGGTGCTCCAGAAATGAATTCTCCATATTTGATTGGCTCACATGTAATCAAATATCGCACTGCAAGCTCAATGGTTGTTTTGTGTGAATATATTAAACAAGAATTGAATATTTACAACACACCAGTTTCATAGATTTTACTCATTGCACTAAGTAGTACAAATTAAGCTTGCAGATGTGTGCAAAAGTTGAATCCAACAAGTGCCGCAGAGCGACAGCGCTCAACTGACGTGTACTGTAGCCAGGTATTCTTCTGATAAACTCACTGGCAACCGAATCAAGTGCGCCCTCCTGCCACCGAGTTCGCGCTCAGAGCATATATCTAGGATACTACTAATACAGATCTAAAATCTATGATAGGCTTTGCTATACCTACTGGTAGTACACTACAGTACAGTAATAAAGATACAGCTGTGTAACTTTAATGACTTCGCTATATTAACATGTTATCATGGATATGCGTCGAGCGCGAGCGTAGTGGTGGTGGTGGGAGAGGGTGAGGGGAGGGGGGGGGGCTCTAAAGCAAAAGCAGTTCAGTCCTTTGTTAACATCACAAAATCCATGTTAACCCTCCCTCGAGGTCAAAAGGTTACCGACACTTAACTCTTCGCATCACGGAAAGTACATTAATGTCGCTAATAAGCTAAAAAGGTAGGTCCGCTGAAAAAAAAAGTTATTCAATCGCTCGCGCAGACCAATGTCTCAGAAAATCCTAAATAATGCCCGGTGCCCATTGACCATGACACTGTGACTCCAATTCGCACAGTGAGTTTCTACCATGAGCTATCACCGCTACACGACCTGTCAGCCGATTAGAATTTGTGCGCAATCTGCTTCGTCCCAACTTAAGTTAAAGGAGGTAGTTCCGCCCTTCTTACACCTCTTACCGACTTTGACTTTGACCCCAGCTGGACAGCCAAACCGTGTTCGGATACCCCCCCCATACAAATATCGGACTGACACCGAGCGTAAGATTATGGCCAACTGTGACGACGGACCAGCACGCACGAGCACACCGGACAATCTCGATCTAAAGCTGCAACTACACCTCAGCTGAGTAAAATAAATTGACAGAATCCACGAAAATAATCAGTGTGCGGAACCCAAATAACTTGAGATGGACAAAATGTGGGCCCAAGCCTAGTTTAGCACCCCGGATTACTTTAGCACATATGCGAAAACACACATGATAGGGCGCCAAAACATCACTGACGGATGCCGGCAATGCCCGAGGACGAGATGCACATGTGTCTTCACAATCACAGCGTACACCGCACCCTCCATTAATACTAAATGGGACCATTTAATACAAATGCCGATCTCAAGAACTAGGGCTTCTGCTGCTAGAACAGTTACCTACGAAGAGTGCACAAAACGAAAAATACACCGTTATCCACTGGGCTACGTCTTCTGTTGCAATTTCCGATCTACCTATCAGAATAAGCCCGCCTTTCGTTGATGGGCATGAAAGGGCGCACCGACGGAACCAGATTCACTTCCCAGCCTGCTTACTTTCTAAATACATTAAAATCCGGCGATGAGCATATTCGCATTGACAGACAAATCTGACTTCCAACTCGCTGTGAACGTGACGAAGTGCATCATCATGAAATCAATAAAAACACACAATGTCGACTAAAGTTACATCAACAGCGCCATCCTCTCTGATGTTATAAGTAAATACCGAATTTCATAAAATAATGCATTTATATGTACTACCAACGATTTAGCTCAGAAACATAGGTATTTACTCGGAATTTCTCGTATCTTATGAGTATGTCATCGCTCAATGTTTTCGTAGGTTTCTGCGATTATTGCGCAGGCCGCCATTTGGATACCTCAACAATTACATTCTCCTTAATTAAGCAGTTAGTCCATCTTCACGTTAATAGGAAGCGAGGTAAACTGATGCTTCGATAATGAACCTGCTTCCTAGAAACGATTCAAAATTGCTCTCGCCCAGATAAATTTCCCATCAGAACCACATTTATCAGTTGACTCTTATCATACGTTAACTCTATATCAAAATAAATCCGACTAGGTATAAATCTGTGCTTATGATAACTTAGGTGCATAAATATCTCTTCTCTATCCTTTCTTTGTTGGAGTTATAACGCATTGTATTGTATTGTCATAAAATCTCATCTTTGATTCAGCTAAATCTGAGAATGACTGCAGATTTTGTTGCTGTAACACACAACTGTATCATGTCTCTACTGGATCCAAAATATGCGCTTAGACACCATACATTCTTTTGCACAGGTAATACAGCTATATAGTATAGCTACACAGGATAAGATAAATATAAGAGTAACTCTCCTAAAACATGTAATTCAACAATGCTGCCTAATTTACCGACTATCTATTACGGCAACTCCTAACAAATACATCAAAACGTGGACATCCGTCTCATAAACTAAAATTAACTATTGTTTAAATACCTGACCTTTAAGGAATATAGCCTTTGAACTACACAGGTTCATAGTGTGTAACGTAGCGGCGCTCAATGCCAGAAAAGCCATACCGAACAGTGGCTAGCATAGTAGCGAATGGCTGCGTTTGACAAGAATACCAACCCGTTGGCGCAGAAGAAATAAATCTGAATTAATAATATAAAAATAATAAGAATAATGGTGTATATATATACTGTTATATAGGTGTAATAATTACGTGTATATATTATCATAATAAATATATAGAGTGTGATAACAAAAGGAATAATAAATAGAATCCACATATTACTACCCTGCCGCAACAGGTGCATCTGTCAACAGACAGACCATTCACTCACATGCTAGCCACCGGTTCGGCATGCGCTACGGGCAATCTGAGCCGCCAGCATTACGGTCTAAACACTACTGAACCATGTGATAGTATAAGCCTAATTTCTAAAGGACAGCAGTTATTTAAACAAAGAAAAGTTAGTTAAGACGGATTCAACACTCATTTAGAACTGTAACGTTATCGAGTTGCACGAATACTATCATCGTAAAATATAGCAACAAATGTTGAAATTCATGTTTGGAGTCCATACTCCTCTCTATATCTACTCCTGGACTAGTTATACGAAATTATAGTAAAAGTCACTGTGAATCACTCTAACGTAATACAATAGAAACATAAACTATACAATTAAAAAAAAAACAAAAAAAAAAAAAAAAAAAAAAAAAAAAAAAAAAAAAAAAAAAAAAACAACAAAATACTCATATTAGTACTTATGCGACGTTTATACCTTCTTGTCGAAATTGAATTTCGCGCAACTGCAGCCAATGTCATCGCTCTGCAACAATTAGTCCAATGCGGTTGGCGCGTCCCTCGTCGACCGTGCGCGCGCTCAAGGTGAGCAACGACGCGCCATGATTTCACTGAATACCACCGACGCAAACTCACTTTTTTAGAAATCTGTATCAGGTCCAATGTCGATCGCTTCGCAAAGTCATTTACTTCAACTCGTTTACTCGAGTGTAGCCGGTTGCCTGAGTGTGTTTACAATTTCCATGTCACCGAAGTCCGAAGCAAATAAGCAACTCACGAATTTCACATTCCTCTACTACAACTAGCTGTAGCAGCTTAACTTTAAATAACGTGCTCATAGCAATTCCGTAGATAAGCGCACCGATTCACACATATATATACTACACCAAAACAACGTGAATTCACCTTGTATTCACTGGATTTCACTCCTGAAGCTTGGCATCTGAACACTGAGCATCTCAATGTGACGTCACACAATACGACGAGCGATACAGAAACTACGCACGCTTTGCACAAAATGATTTCGTTTACACACACATAACACACGGCCGCAAATCATTGAAATAGGGACACAAGTCGAGTATCGCGAAGGGGCTGAGGAATTTTAAAATATACTCCTCAATGCGTTAGGCACGAGCAGGGTCGGACCCCTGGACCCCCCCCTCCGTACACGCCGTGCGCGCGCCGCGCACACACACACACACACACACACACACACACACACACACATCATGTATATAAGAATACGAACAGGCCGTGTACACTGCAGCAAAAACAAGAAAACAAATCCGCAGAAAAACCAATAATTGTGAATGAAGCGATCACAAAATATTATCAGGAGTAAGATAAATAATAATCCTATATTATCTACTCCTGAAATTATGTCCGTTATTATTGTTGCCCATGCACAGTCATAACAGACGTATAATAACAATTCTATTTCATAATACCGCTCTGAATCATATCGCGTTAAATAAGGCTATATCAGCAATGCAATAAAAACATTATAAAACGGATCCATCCCAGTTACGCATGCATGCCCTCATTGCGTGAAATAGCTCGTGTTCCACTAATCCATGAATCAGTTCAATGGAATGATATCTACCTAAACTTCATAAACTCTTTTATGATGATCTCATAAGAAGATTTAATATAAAACAAAAAACGTGTTAAAAAGAAAACGTACTAAATTATCAAACACATTTCTTAGTTGTCATG